ATATATTTGAATGATAGTGGTATTCACTGGACTTCCTTGTATGCGTATAGATATTATCCTGTCACTGACAATATTGTACTTCAAGATAGATTTGGTGGAAGGATAAATGATAGATGAGTTAGGTAAATGATAGCAGGGAGATAGATAAAAGATTATCAGATAGATGATAGATAAGTTAATGATAGATACATTGATTGGTAAATGACTGATAAATACTAGATGAATGATTGTTAGATTCATAGAAAGATGACAGGAATATAGACGATAGATGTTGTTATGTGCCACCGAGTCACCTGTGACTCACTGTGACTCAGTGACCCTATACACAACAGCCCTAAACCCTGCTCTATCCTGAGCCAGCCTCATTGTCTCTGACACACTCACCCCCATTACCCCAGTGGCTGAGTCGGTCCATCTCATCAAGGGTCTTCCTAGCAGGTAGATAAATGAAGTTGTTGTTAGGTGTTGTCAAGTACGACCCCCAGGGACCCTGTGAGCAACAGACCTGAGCCCTGTGCTGTCCTCATCATCTCTGACACACGGGAGCCCATTCCTGCAGTTGCTGTGTCAACCCATCTCATCAAAGGTCTTCCTCTCTTTCACCAACCTTCCACCTTTCCAAGCATGCTATTCCTCTCCATGGAGTAGCCTCTTCTAAGTAATAACATGACCAAAGTATGAGAGATGAAGCTCCGTCATCCTTGCCTCCAAGGAGAATTCTCACTGCACCTTCTCCCAGACATGCCCCTTTGCTCTTTCAGCAGTCCAAGGGGTGTTCAGTGCTCTTCTCCAACACCACAGCTCAACGGCATCGATTCTTCTTCTGTCATCCTTAGTCATTGATAAACCCACACTCATTCCTCCTCATCAGCATAGAAAAGATAACCCATTGCCAAATGGGATTAACCACAGGCACAAATGTCAGATTTTACAACACGGACAAAACTATCTTTGTTTTATTGGAGGAAGGATCTCCATTCGATAGTTACTTTATTGTAGCTTAAGGATATACAGACTTGGTAGCCGTTGTTATTATTGCTTGTTTATTGTTTTCTCTTATTAGTACAGCACTTGTCTGTCAGTTTACTATACTGAAGTAGCTTGTGGGTTGATGTGATGCTGACAGCTGTACCAAAGCCAGAAAGGTCAACCATGGTGGACAGGTTTTAGAAGAGATCACAGGTTAAGACAGACTAGGAAGCAGAATTGACCAGCCACTTCTTAAATAGGAAGCCTCTGAAACCCTCACAAATAGTTCTAGAGATTAGGTTCTCGAAAGATTTGTTCAAGAATGAAGATTGAATAGTATGGAGAAAGGATACAATCATGAAACACACACTCATCTTGATTTTAAGCCATGCAGGGTTCCCTTCCTCCATTTAGACAGCAGTCTCCTGGTCTAGGTATAGATTTAGCATGAGCACAATTAAGTGTCCCGGAATTCCCATTCTTCTCAGTGTTAGCCATAATTTATCGTGATCCACATAGTCAAATGCCTTTGCATAGTCAATGATATGCAGATAGACATCTTTCTGATATTCTCTGCTCTCAGCCAGGATCTATCTGATCAGCAATTATATCCCTGGTGCCACGGCCTCTTCTAAATCCTGCTTGAGCTCCTGGCAGTTCCCTATGTACTGTTGTAGCCATTTTTGGATGATCTTCAGGAATATTTTGCTTGTGCTCTTAATGATATAATGTGATAATTCCCACATCCTGTTGATCACCTCTCTTGGGAATGGGAACAAATATGAATCTTTTTCAGAAGCCATCCAAGCAGCTGCCCTCTCACTATTCTGGCATAGACTGGCCAGCACGTCCAGGGCCGTCTCTGTTAGTTGGACTATGTCAGTCGATAGTGCATCAATTCCTGGGACCTTATTATTATTTTTTTTTTTTTGCAAGTGCTTTCAATGCAATTTGACCTTCTTCCTTTATTACCATTGACTCTTGTTCAGATGGCAGTTCTTGAAGTTTTTCAGAGTCAACCAATTCCTTTTGACATAGTGACTCTGTGTGTTCCTTCCTTCTTATTTTGATGCTTCCTGGATCATTCAAGATTTTGCCCTTAGCATTTCTCCATATTGCAACTCAAGGCTTGACAAACGATAGACTGATGGATGGAAAGTAGGTGGAGAAACAGATAATGATGACAGCTGGATCGATGGGTGGGTTCTGCCTCTCACCGGCTGGCTGTAGTACCAGTGGCTGTGACTGTGACCTTGACTTATGCATGTGTCAGGATAGACTGTGCTGCGTGGGCTTCTCAGGGGCTGATTTTGGGGGTAGATGGCCATGCCATTCTTCCAAGGCACCTCTGGGTGGACTCTAGCCCCTGACCTTCAATGAGCAGGACGTGAATGAACCCTAAGCGCCACCTGGGTTCCAGGTGGAGTAAGTGACTACAACCCTATAGGTGGGAATCACATACCCTGCCCTGTAGGGGAAGACCTGAGTGGACAGGGGGTGGGCCACCGCTCCAGCAGCCTGGCAGGTCTTCCCACGACATGGAGCTGGCCGCTGTGTCTGACGGCCGTGTCACACCTTGTCACACTGTGTCTCACGTGTCTGTGGAGCACTTGCCAGCCCGTGTGTCCAAGAACTCTCAGCGACGCGTCCTACCATCTCACTCTAGGACAGTCCTGATGCTGACCCCGTGCTTGGTCTCCTCTCTCCTCCCCAGGAGACCCGGGCCTCCTCCGAGAGCATCGTCTCTGTGCCAGCGTCCAGTGCCTCAGGCTCCCCAAGCCGTGTGATTTACGTGAGTAGGGGCTTCCACCCGGAGAGAGCAGCAGGGAAGGACTGTCCCCAGGGGCTGGTGGCCAGTGGATGGCTCTACCTTCCTATGGTGTTGGGAACAAGGGGACAGCCATTCTCCTGCTGCTGACCACAGAAATGGGGTAGACTTTGTGAGGGTCCACCAGGGCGTGTCTGGTCATATTTTTCAGCTGCATCAGCTGCAGCAAACACCCTGCATTTCCCAAAACTAACCTGCCTCTATTAATTACATTGTTTCTCTGGGTTCATAGAGTTTCCAGAGGCAAGCTGTTATGGAAGTCGATGCCACTCCTGCTTCCAAGCTTGTTTTAATCAGGAAGCTCCACCAAACACTGTCCACCATGCGTGACCACTAACACATTTGACACATCAGTGTCACAGTGTTCACCTTCACAGTGACCATGAGTTATCTCTGTACAGCAAATGGACACACCAGGGCTATACCCCTTAGATGAATGTTTGACTAAAAACAGTTAAAACCAGGCCCGAGGGCTGCAGATTAGTCACCCACCTTTGGCTTGGTAGCATCCCAATGAACCTGGAGAAACGATGAAAGTTATCCAAGTGTTCAGGTCTTTCGTTCATAGGGTCCTATGAGTCGCCTGTGACTCGAGGACACTTAACAACAACAACACAGAAATTACACACACAAATAAACAACACACATGTGAACACACACACATGCATGGCAGTCACAGCATGTAACATGCATGAGAAATCAGTACAGAAAAGTGTGTGGTTTGAAAAGCCTGTTTGCGTAGAGATGTGATAATTACAACCTCCAAATTCTAGTTCAGGGCTGGGCAGCAGCCTCCCAGGGGCCAGGCAGTGGACAGCAACAGTCATCTTGCAGCAGTGACAGCACCACACTCAGGTGCCCCGACACCAGAGCTAGGATCCCCTCCAAGAAGCCCCACTGCTTGGTGTGACAGGCAGTGAGCGAGGGCCAGGCTCAGCTGGACCAGGGGGACAGAGGGGTGCCCAGGCCAGATGGCACCCTGTTTTGAGGCTTCTTCAAGTCCAGAGTGGGAACGCTGTGGTCTGCCCCACCCCTGAGAAGGACAGCTTAGCCACCTGGTTCTTTAGAGGCGGGTGCCCGGTACTCATGTGACACCAGCCTTTCTCACCTCGAGCGTGATGTGGGGGCTTATGGACCTGCTCTTGGGCAGTCAGACCTGTGGGTCCCTCCTCAGCTGCCCTCATCTCAGGGTCCCATCTGACCCTGTCATCCCCTGTCCTCTAGGCCAAGCTTGGTGATGAGATCCTGGACTACAGGGACCTGGCCGCCCTGCCCAAGAGCAAGGCCATCTACAACATCGACCGTCCCGACATGATCTCATACTCGCCGTACATCAGCCATGCTGTGGGTGACCAGCAGAGCTACAGTGAGGTGAGCTCGGCTGGCCAGGCCCCACAGTGGGGTGTGGGAATGGGCCCCCTCCGCTCTCCTCTTCTTCTGATGCTTGATTGACTCTCCACCCAGAAGCCCCAGGAGCTGCAGAGGGTTTGCATTTGATTGTGAACCTAAGGTTTACAAAATCTCCCCAGGCACCATGGAAGAAAAGCCTGGCAAACTACAGTCACAACTGCAGCCACTGGAGCCCAGCTTCACACTGTCACTGGGACAGCTCTGCTTCCAGCCTAGGGCCCTGCTCCACCATCACAGACACTGCACCCTCAGCAGACACTCTGCCACCCCTGCAGACACAGTCTCATCCCTGCAGACACAGCCCCTCTAGACACAGCCCCCTGCAGACACAGCCCCACCCCTAGAGACACAGCCACTCTACAGACACAGCCCTATCCCTGCAGACACAGCCCCCTGCAGACACAGCCCCCTATAGACACAGCCCTCCTGTAGACACAGCCCCCTGGAGACATAGCCCCCTGCAGACACAGCCCCCTGAAGACACAG